ACTCTCATCAGTCCCAGCCTGCATGGCCAGTGGCCAGGGATAATGGGAATTGTAGCCCAACAGTGTATGAAGAGCCATAGGTTCCTCATGTATGTCAGGAACCTTGGTGGTCTGAGATGAGTCTGCTCATTTATTTTTGCTGAGCCATATGTATGGAATGCACACCCAGTGCTTAAACTCCCCCTTCCTCCTGTATCAGTATTTTGGTATAACATTGCCAGCATCCTCCTATTCCATTAGCACTATTATGTAGACATAACAGGAGATAGTAGAGAGAATGAGATAAAAAACAGGGCTCTTCCAGATAACCAGTGTACTGAGCATTCATCCTAATTTGTTTGTACACACACACACACACACACACACAGTGCTTTTTTCTGGGGGGAGGAAGGGGTACACATACCCCTAAACATTTTGTGAATATAAGTTTGGCCTCATTGAGGGGCAGCATTTCAATATGAGTAGGAAAATGAAAGTACCCCTAAACATTTTTTAAGGAAAAAAGCACTGTACACACACACACACACACACACACACACACACACACTCTATACAACATCACTATTGAACATTCAGTTTGAGTGAGTGAAGGTTATATAGCATCACCTGACATTGCCATTATCTGACACTCTCGAGTGTATTTTCCCATCACTTTTCTTACCACAAAAATTATGTGGCTGTTTTTTGGAAGTGAATTTATTGTGCAAGAACTTAAGAGCACCAAATCCACTTTAATTGTGCAATCTAAATTTACTGGTATATGATAGAATCATACCTGCAAAATCGTGACAGTCTGGAAGTGGCCACACTGAGTATAATCACTGAGCACAGTCTTGAGTTCAGGTAAGACACTCCAGTTTGAAATACGGTGTTTTCTACACTTCTGTAATCATGAGTTGGATTGATCCACTAGGAACTCACCTATAGGGAGCTTATGAGCAGGTACCACAAAGTTCCCTGAGTAATCCAGCAGTTGACTGCGCCAGCCCTCTTCAGAATCCTCCTGAGAAGCTAATCCCCAAGAGGTGTGCAAGATGTAATCCTTTCCCCCCAATAAGAATAAATGGAGTGCATAAAACATAAATAAGTCCCATTGTCACATGCCATGCATCAGGGTCACCGCTCTCACCTCTTGGCTCTCTTAGATTTACGCCCAGTGACATAAACCGGCCAGACAACACACTCGTACCTCCAAAGCACCCAACACTCAGGTCTTACAGAGCTTCAAGCGAGGGAGATTAGAGACATTTATGAGTGAGGGCCTTTTTTCTTTCACAAAGCTCCATTGAAATACCTAGTAAATCTCTCACCTTAAAAGCAACCTGACAACCAAGCAGAGATCTAAAGAGACAGTGACTAGCCAGCATTACTCTCAGTGAGAATTAGACCCCGGTGGCCCCCCATCTCCCTCCATTCGCTAACTTTTTTCTCATTAGTTTCCCTTTGATTCCCCCCACCCATCAGCTTTTTAACATTTCATCCTTTCTTTCTTCCCTCTTCTCCTCCCCCTCCTTCCCATGGTATCATGGCGACATCTCCAAGCCAAGTACTTTTAATTTCGCCTGTGGCCCTTGCTGACACCGTGGATATGCACAGCAAGTTAAATTCCCGCCTGATCAATAAAGCAGAAGCCGTGTGTCCGACCGGTCGATACTTTTTTATCTGTCTTCAGCCCAGTCCTGCTGATGACAGGCCTCTTGCGCATTGCCAAAGACACTCAAGGGCAACCGGGCTTTCAAAAACACGAGCACTTTAAATATATATATATCATTATTATTATTATTATTTTATTATTATGTTTATAATCCCCTCCCAAAAAAACCTCTGATATATCCCTATAGGAAGACGGAAAGCAGTTCACAGTGTTTGGCCTTTGCTTGAAACATTTTTATGATTTATCTTAATTTTTAATTGAAAAAAAACTTGTGAATTAATTGATTTCTGGGGCTTGCCAATTAACATTGTAATTGGGTGCATGATAAATTCTGAGGCAGTGTAATTTTTTATTCTTGTCACCAAGAGGGGCTTGGTGAGGGCAGCTTTTTTCTGCATGTCCCCTTGCATAGAACGTACTCTACTTCCAAGGTACAGCCTTGTTTGCTGCTAGCAGCTTCTTCAGAAAGAGAGATCAGTAACCTATTCAGCTTTGCAAAATGGGATCTCTCAAAGGCATAAATTCATGCCTGGTAGATCTGAAGGAGAGGGCAGTTCCCTCACAAGGTTCTTATCCTTCTAGTTTTCCCATCCCATTCCACAGCATATATCTAATCAATGCTTCCTCCATTCAGTTATGGCTTAGAAAAGTGAAAGTCTTGAGCTGTTGCTCCTGAAGTAGTGTTGCCCAGTTGAAACTCTGGGAATATGCATATACCTTTGGATCTCCCAGTGAATAGCAAATGAGGCAGCCACAGCTTATTCCATCCATTCTTTCTCTTTCTTTGCACACTTGGAGCCTTGCCTGCTTGCCACACAGCTGGTGGGTAGAAGAAAGGGGGCAGAAAGACTATGGCTACTATGTCTCCCACTTCTTGGAGGTGGTGGGGCTTCAAAATGTATGAATATTTTGTAGGACACAACCTGGCAATCCTGTCTAAAAATAAATTTGGCAACTGAGAGAAATAGAGGTGTTGTCACGGCCTGGTCATTATGCTTTGGTAAGGGAATATGCATCACCCTGCTATGTAACATTTGAGTTGGCAGGTGGAGGAGATGCCCATCTTTAAAGTTTAGAGAATACTTGTGAACCATCGCCCAATTGCTCAAGTTAAAGGCCCTTTTCCCAGTCTCATTCATTACCCATTACTCAAAGACCCTGTAGGCAGAACAGAAAGAAGAGGTGAAGAGGGTATACATAAAGAGGAATGGAGAGTCAGCCCTTTACAATTTTCAACCAATAGAAGACTCATCAGCTTCTGCATAGTCCAGTGCTGTTAGCTGAAAGGTAAAGGTTACCAGAACACCACTAGCGAGGAGATACGGCACCACAAATCTGTGTGTGGCACAACATCATTAGAGTCCAGCAGAGTCCACAAACTGTGCATAGACCAATGATATCACTAACCCTAATGTGGTTTAGTCTTTGCCTCATCCCTAGTTTATGTTCAGTGCAGATGAAGATGAAGATGATTAATTATTATTATTAATTTTGTTTAGGAATCATTTAATTTATGAATCATTCCCATATATAAAACAGTTATATACATCAAAATTGTTGACACAATTGCACACATAAAAACAATTTTATACAAAACAATAATAAATATAAAAAGGGGATTAAAACAACTGTGTTCACATACATAAGATCAATTCAGATCGCAACCTGGATAAAGATTTTGGAAGGTTTGTTCAAAGAGGAGCATCTTTATCAGGCATTGAAAAGGCAAAGAGAAGGCTGGGCAACCCCGTCAAATGGGTGGAGTACAAATAATAAAAATATTATTAAAAATTATTACTTGTCTGGTATGCAGTGGGAGGGAGTTCCAAAGGACAGGTGTCACTACACTAAAGGCTTGATTCTGGCATTGTACAGAACAGACCTCCTGATAGGATTCCCTCTTCTTCAGAAAACAGTAATTGGGTATGTAAGGAGTGAGACAATCTTTTAGGCATCTTCGTATTTGTACACCAATACCAGCACCTTGAGGGATGCGGGTGCCGCTGTGGGTTAAACCACAGAGCCTAGGACTTGTCAATCAGAAGGTCAGCAGTTCGAATCCCCGTGACGGGGTGAGCTCCCGTTGCTCAGTCCCTGCCTTTGCCAACCTAGCAATTCGAAAGCACGTCAAAGTGCAAGTAGATAAATAGGTACCGCTCCGGCGGGAAGGTAAATGGCGTTTCTGTGCGCTGCTCTGGTTTGCCAGAAGCGGCTTAGTCAAGCTGTCCACATGACCCGGAAGCTGTACACCGGCTCCTTTGGCCAATAAAGCGAGATGAGCGCCGCAACCCCAGAGTCGGTCACGACTGGACCTAATGGTCAGGGGTCCCTTTACCTTTTTACCAGCACCTTGAACCTGTCTCAGCAGCTAATTGGCAGCCAATGTACATACAGGTGTGCATGCAGTCAATAGGTTTTACATTGATTGCTTCAGCCTTTGAAGGCATCCTACTTTCAGTGGGGAAATTGACAGTTATGCTGTAGTTAGCTACTGTGCCTTTATTCATGAATATGTCAGCCTCTCTCCAGACTTATGTTCATATCATCAACTTTCATGCTTCTCCATTTTCTTGGGTACAGGTATGCTACCTTTAGAGTGGTGTATGCCCAAAAGAGTGTAAGTGAATGTTTCTTTTTCAAAAGAAAAGGCCAAGTAATTTTTACTTCGAGTTGAGTGTGGCCATTTTTTCTACAAACTCTTCAGCTATGCCTCTGTCAACATCCAGTGGTTTTGACAGGATCCTGATACACAAAATTTGCAGAGGAAAAGCTTTTTCTGGCATAGATATAAATTGTTGGAGGAGCTTCACCTCCTTAATTGCCGTGTCACAGGCTTCTGTTATAAGCACAGGAGCGAGAGGAGTTTATTTTTTAAGGGTGGCAAGTTGTTTTGTGTTGTGATTTCAAACTTCTGTTCTTGACAAGGGAGCAAGGTGATGCTGTGGTCTAAACCTCTTGGGCTTGCTGATCAGAAGGTCGGCAATTCAGGTCAGCGTGACAGGGTGAGCTCCTGATGCTCTGTTGCAGCTCCTGCCAACCTAGCTGTTTCGAAAGCATACCAGTGTGAATACATAAATAGACGAGAAGGTAAACGGCGTTTCTGTGCACTCTGGCACTTGTCACAGTGTCCTGTTGCACCATGCTGGCCACATGACCCAGAAAGCTGTCTGCGGACAAACTCTGGCTCCCTTGGCCTGAAGCGAGATGAGCGCTGCACCTGTTAGTCAAGTTTGACTGGACTTAACCATCCAGGGGTCCTTTACCTGTACCTTTACCTTGGCAAACTGAATTCGTGTCCTGCCATATTTGCTATTGAGATGGGTCAGAGACCTGATTGTGACATTAGTGAAAATGGAGACATGGTGTGGTATTCAACTAAGTTTTATTCACAGAAGACCCATTTAAATTAATGAACATGATTAAGTTTGGTCCATTGATTTCAGTGTGTCTACTCTGAATAAAATTGAGTTGAATACTACCCATGTCCTCTGTTGTTGCACCTCTTCAGTACTGGGACATTGAAGCTTGGCCTAACTTTGTGGCTGAGATTCTGAATGTGACTGATCTTGAACTAGGCCTCAGAACACAAAAGTTCAAGCTCCACCACATTCTCCCTGTATGACATTAAGTGAATCTGGCAACTCATCTGGGCCTCTGTTCCCCATGTGTATAGAAAGGTTAATAGAGGTTGTAATTTTAAATTTGTCAGTGATTGTGAGGCCACTTGGACATTTAGTTGTTGAAGGGTGCACCATATGATGAGCAGGTAAGCTAACAAAGCGAACCCAGGTGCCCTGGTGAAGGGCAGAGTAGGGAGAAACATGGGCAGCAGAATAGATTCGGCAACTAAGCTCATGGAAAATGTCTCTAAGTTTTTTCCCCTGCAAGCAAAATTCAACTGTAGGCCAATCCTTTTGGTGGATTAAAGCTACCAGCTGGAGGATAATTATTCCCCCATTACAGCTACAGTAACAAAGATCAGTCTCCACATTCCCTTCCCCCCTGGCTTGTATCTTGTCTTTATTTGTCAGACTGGCTTTATGTTTTCCCCCTCCTGTCGTTTTCTTTTCTGGGAAGAGTTAAGGAGCTGAATTTGTTGGGTTTCAACCCATAAGGAAAGGCAAAACAAAGCGGAAACCAAAATATAGCCATTTGGTTAAAAGAAAACACACACCCATGTTTCCCTTTACAGTGGTACCTCGGGTTACAGACGCTTCAGGTTACAGACTCTGCTAACCCAGAAATAGTACCTCGGTTTAAGAAATTTACCTCAGGATGAGAACAGAAATCGTGCGGCGGCAGCAGGAAGCCCCATTAGCTAAAGTGGTACCTCAGGTTAAGAACAGTTTCAGGTTAAGAACGGACCTCCAGAACAAATTACCGTAAGTTCTTAACCCGAGGTACCACTGTACTTTATCACTGAGTTGATCTTATGGTGCAAGTGATTGCTTCATGGATTCTTATCCTGAAGCTGCTGTGTACAAATTGGAGATTACTGGCTATCGTGAGCTTGTGCAAGTGTTATTTTGTGTGGGGTTCCCCCACTGATAAATATAGTGCAGGCTAATGGTCACTGGTCATCCTGATTTACAGGTTCTTGGTTAGGGTTGTAACAAGAGGGCAAGAGATCACTATGGCCTGATTTTAGTGTGGGCAAGTCAATTGCTTGTATTGGAGTTTGGCTGCTTCAGCAGATGTACCATTTCTACCCTGCTGCTGATTTGGGGAAGTGCCAAGATGAGTCTCTTGGGGCTAGCATTTGCTTAGCATTGAGTGCCAAGCTTTTTAAAGTCTACCCCATTCCCTGCAGCACTACCCTCCCATTTTGTGAGGGTAGATTTGTTTTCTGCTTAGTTCTTTGATGGTCAGGTGGTTGCTCTCTCCAACACAACTGTGCTATTACTATAGTAATTCTACTATTACTATTATTATTTATCAAAATTTCTATACTACTCTTCATCTGAAGATCACTGGGTGGTTTACAGTATAGAAGCACAAAAATGCATAACATTATACAGTAACAAACAAAAGCAATAACCCCTCCCCATAGACTTTCTCACTGTAACAGAATTGCCTGTGCTCCAATGTGTGGACTGCTATTGTCTCTGAATGGTAGAATTAGTGCAAGGATAGAAGTGTGGTTGGGACATTCATTTACTTACTGTTATAACAAGCCCTCAGGAATCTTTATTCTACACTTTGTAGGCAGAAATCCCAAATAGCTGTTTGCTGTGATTCAGTTTTAAAGAGCAGATTTTTGTGGGGAAAGCTCCAGAGCAAAAAATAAAAGGGTGTGTGTGTGCTCAGACACAGAGCTTTAAAGTGTGGACCTGTTCCTGGAAAGAGCGGAGCAAATGTTAAGTAAGGATAAGCCCTAAGTCAAAATGAGTAGATGCTCCCTCTCTAATGTGGAGGTCAGGTGGAACTGAATTTATTGAGAAAAAGCTCCAATCCTAGCTCAGACAGCAAAGCACAGAGGCTACACCTGCCTTAGTATCACTTTCCAAGCAACTCTTACTTAAAGCTTTGGGTTGTTTCCAAATAACTCATCAGCCCAAGGATTTCTGCTCGTGCAACAGAATTGCCCCTTTTTTGTGTGCCCCCCGTTCCCTTCTCAGATCTTCTGTGGGTGGTTGGGCAGAAACCCAGAACAGATTTAGGAGGGCCTGGGAGAGGGGGAGTTCCACTGTGCAAGCAGAAATCTTTGTGCTGATGGAATGAGTTAGTTGGATACCTATGGCTGTACACCATGAAAATATAACAGGGAAGGATAGCAGGCGGGAAAGAGAAGGGTCATTGCTCAGTAGAGGAACACATGCCTTGTGTGCAGTAGGTTACAGGTTCAATTCCCAGTATCTCCAGTAAGAACTGAGAAAATATTCCTGTCAGAAATCCTAGAAATCTGCCGCCAGTCAAAATAGAGTCTGTACTGTCTGTATCAGTACTGAGCTAGATGGGCCAATGATTTGACTCAGCATGATAGCTTCCCATATTTCTATGCATCTACATATATATATTTTTAATACAGATTGCTGTCAGATTTTTAAATACTGCCTGCATTCATGAAGGCTATAAATGAACTTATTTTATATGGAAGTTTGTGTCAAAGCAATGGAACCAACCAACAAAACTCCATGTTCTCTGCTAGTGTCCCTCATTTCAATTAGGTTTGAAGCACATTCATTATCAAACTATAAGCCAGGATGATTAACAATTTTACATTCATGCTCATGTCATCCTCAGATTTTATTTGGGCTTCTGGGAGGCTGAACTGAAGAAAAGTAAAAACAGACTTTTAGACCACTTTATGTTTTATCTAAAAGTGGCAGTGTGCAGACTCACTGTACTTATCCCCAGTTGGCAAGCAATATTTTTCTCTCATGTTGTAGCATTTTCCAGTGACTACTAGCTGATATAGGTCCCCCCCACACACACGCACAACGAATCCCTGCTTCCTTCATGTTGAGCCTTCCCATGGAACAGTCACTGATTAAAAGTGACATTTAAAATTTCCGGTTTACTTTTTCACTGCCTCTGTTTATTGCCTCCCCCCTCCTTCCCGCACACACACACACAACACTTCATATGGTTGAAGCCAGCTCACTGCCCCTATTCCATTGTAGCACCTTTTGCTATTGCATGTCATTGTGTAAGCAGTGCATTCCAAGGTAAAATGTTGTTATTCCAAAAAGGAATTCTTATCAAGAGGCTTAATTTTAAACGCTTCTAAAACCAATAAAGCAGGCTGCTATTAAGATGCTGAATGAGCTGTCAAGAGTTTCACTCACTCACTTGGTGTCAGCTGGAGCTAGGAAAGCTCATGACCTCTTTAAAGCAGATGCCTCAGGATAACCCTCAGACTGCCCGGTTTTATACTGAATTAGGCTAGTGGTCCATTTGGCCCAGTAGTGTCAACTGCTCTTCAGGAAGACCAAGTGGGGCCTCTACAAGTAGAGCCATCAGATGTCAGGCAAGACTTGGGAAGGGAGTTCATAGTCGTGCATCTCTAGATAGCTGGGACTCTTGTGCCACTGACAGTTTAGAACACACTTTTAACTAGTTTGTAGAAAAGCAATCAAATTAATGTATTTTTTTAACAGCAGAAAACGAGGTCCACTCTAGATTGGAGTACTAAAAACTATATTTATTGCATGAAAGAGAGCAAGTAAGATGATGACTTATGTGGACCAAGTGGTGATCATAGAAGCAGAAGTTGCAAACGTTCCCCCCCCCGCCCCAAGATTAAATATTCAAGAGGATAATAGATTGTTGAGTTATTGTATAACTCCCATTCATTTCTATGTGGTTTCTGTTGGAGAACTTCCCAGTTGACTTGCTCTTTGCCAAATATTAAATTACTCTTTGCAGTCTGAGTGTTCAGGATCAGTTGTGTTACAAACTCAGTAAAAGTGTGATCCTATGGCTTTGGAATGACATCCCGGGGGCCATAGGATACAGAAGATCTTCTCCACCATTGGTGGAGAGGAAGGTCTGCCATCAGAGAGGAACTCCAGGATGCTTCCTTATAGTGGTGGCAGAGAGCTGTGTTGTTGGTACTCCAGTAACAGAAAGAACAAGGGTGTGGGTTTCCTGGGCACATTGGGGGAAGCTTTGGATTCAGTGGATCTAAAGCTCCCTACTGGGCATGCCCTTGGAACAGGAAATAATGATTTCCCTCCCATTGGAGTCTATAGAGCTTTCCCCACCCTCTGCTGATGTGAGCCCAGCAGGGCTGGGAATATGGTGTTTCTTCTTCCCCTTCCCAATAGGATTGCTTTGTAAATATGTGCTTCTGCTTCATAACAGATGTGTTTGCAACATAGCCAAATGCTAACACATATATTTGTGTGTAGAAAGTGGATCAACATGGAAACAATAATTTTTCTTAGAAATATGCAAAGCCCCAAGAACGAAAATCTAACCCACAAACTCCCCCTTAGCCTCATTAGGGGATGATAGCTATTCCCCATCTGTTAATTCCTGCCTCTTTGTGATCTGCTGCTACCTAAAAGGGGCAAGTAAGTTGTGCTATCATAATGAACTGGATAAACAATTCCCCAAACAGATTAAAACTAACTGTAACTTGTAAAGGGTGGGAGGATGGGGGGTATGTAGTAATTATATTTTATTAGCTAGCAAAGCACCATTTTTTGCTTTCAAAGGATAATTCTATGTAAATCATCTTAATTAGAAGTGTCAGACAAACCTGTGAAGATCATAGTTAGCAAGTAATTTCCTATGTATGGGTTATAATTTAAACCACATGGATCGCTCACTGTGTGGCAATATGCTGGCCATGAAATAATGTGGGGAGTGTCGGTTGAGGTTATTACTATGTAAATGTGTGATCATTTCAGACCGCTCCTGACTTGCTTAGTGATTAAAGAGAATTCTGAGGTCTCCAAAGATTGTGCTCTTTGCAAGGGCCTGGAGCAGAAAACTTTAAAAGGTGCTGGAAAGTGTTTGAACTTTAAAGGTCGTGATTTCCCTTTTACC